GCCGAGCCATTCATTTCATTTTTTGAGAGAGAGTCTCTGTTGCCAGGCTAGAGTGCCATGGTATCAGCCTAGTTCACTGCAACCTCAAACTGTTGGGTTTAAGCGATCCTCCTGCTTCAGCCTCCTGAGTTAGTTGGGATGACAGAAGCCTACTACTGCCACAGTGCCTGGCTAATTTTTCTATTTTTAGTAGAGGCAGGGTCTTTCCCCTGCACAGGCTGGTCTTGGACTCCTGAACTCAAGGGATCCTCATACCTCACTTCCCAGAGTGCTAGGATTACAGATGTGAGCCACTGTGCCCAGCCTGAATGTACATGTTAGACAATGTTCCAGAATGACATTGAAAGAATATAAAATCATGCTTTTGCTTTCTTACCAAGTTTTAGGTGATGTTTTTAGATGATTTTCTCTTTCTTTCTTCTTTCTTTTTTTTTTTTTTTGAGACAGAGTCTCACTTTATCACCCTCAGTAGAATGTTATGGCGTCACAGCTCACAGCAACCTCCAGATCTTGGGCTTAGGTGATTCTCTTGCCTCAGCCTCCTGAGTAGCTGGGACTATAGGCACCCATCACAATGCCCGGCTTTTTTTTTTTGTTGTAGTTTGGCTGGGGCTGGGTTTGAACCCGCCACCCTCAGTATATGGGGCCAGCGCCCTACTCTCTGAGCCACAGGCGCCACCCTCTACAATCACTTTTTTAAAAATTAGCCAGGTGCTATGGTGGATGCCTATAGTCCTAACTACTTGGGAGGCTGAGTCAGGCAACTCACTTCACTTGAGCCAAGGAGCTTGAGGCTACAGTGAGCTATGATTGCACTCCAGAGTAGCTGGGACTACAGGTAGGTGCCCGCCATGAGATGCCTGCCATGACGCCCAACTAAGTTTTTTCTATTTTTTATAGAGACGGGGTCTCTTCTTGCTCAGGCTTATCTCGAACTCCTGAGTTCAAATAATCTACCCATGTCAGCCTCCCAAAGTGCTAGAATTATGTGTGAGCCACTGCATTCAGCCTTGCAACTAGAATTTGAACCAAAGCAGTTTGACTCAGCTTGTGTTTCAAACAAGGGGTCAGTCCTATCTATTCAGAAGGCTGAGGCAGGAGGACCACTTGAGTCCAGAAGTTTGAGGCTGTAGGGAGCTATGATCAATGACAGAGAGGGACCCTGTCTTTTAAAAAATCATCAAGGAGGCTCGGCGCCTATAGCTCAACCGGCTAAGGCGCCAGCCACGTACACCTAAGGTGGCGGGTTCGAATCCCCAGCCCGGACCCGCCAAACAAC